TTTCCTGATGAATGCTCCTAAAGTTATTTGACTTCTGATGACTGCATAGTAAGAGATATGCTGTGTGGACAGATACGGGCCATACATTCAAAGACTAGATTTAATAGTCAGTGCAAAATAATTTTTGGTTGACCTAGATCTATTATTGCATCCTCTTGAAGTGTTTTTAGGGTAGCTTCTTTAATACAGTATTTTTAGCATTTTTTTCTTCCATTCAAGAAAGAAAAAGGTGGCTAACTCATGTCATGATTTGAAAGACCCTTTCCACCCTTGTGGGCTGTAGTAATTAGCTGGTGAGCATTTGTACCACTATTATTGAGCTAGATTTTCCTAGAGAGAAGTCAATTTTATATTTGTTGTATTTTACACCCAAAAAAATGAGAGAATTAATTAGTGATTGGTTAGTGTACAGTAAGAACCTAATCATTGATTTATTATTTTTAATTTCAACCTGAAGATGAAAATCCTGACAAGGAATACTTTGGTATTCAACTGAAGACTTAAGCTAGATAACTAGACCAAATCCTTAGCTGCTTCAGATCATGAGGATTTCACAGTATATATGTGAATTGTGATGATACTGTCTTGTTTTCCACTTCTCCATTTTCCTCCTCTTCTTCACCCCCACCAAAGAAAATGTGATGCTTGCTGGAAAAAAGAGAAGGGATAGGAAAAGGCAATGGGATTATGGTTTTTCTCATAGCTAGGCAATGTTATGTTTTGTCAATTGTGATAGTTGTGCTTTCATTTGGGCTCAGGATTCCAAAGTTGGCTTGAGGAAGAAGGAACTCATTGAATCACTTCATTCTTCATATAAAGATGGACTCTGGTATGATAATTAATAATCAACTTTGAAGGAATATATATTTTTTTTACCCATTATCTGTATGCGATGAGAGTCTTTATATGGTTTTTATGCAGTCCACTCCTCCCAAGTCTAATTATTGACAGAACTTCAACATGTGTTCGAATTTCATCGTTTGCTGAATCTCTTTTGTGGCGTGTTCAGGTGTTTGCTAAGACATGAAAATAGTAGGCTGCTTTTTCTTTCTTTCTTTTGGTATTATTCTTCTTCCTCAATATTTCAGTTTTTCTTTATGCAGAGACTATTTTTCCTGGATGGAGAGCAGGATCTGTCTGCTTTCCTTCTAGTTGACTTGCGAATACTTAAGTATCCAGAGTACAAATGTACAATTTCTCATCCAGTATTCTTTGCCAGAAGTGATTTGCTTGCTTATGAAGAGGTTAACTCTAGTTTATGCCAATAAATATTGTATACACATTTTCTTTTCCAACCAGTGTTTTGTTAGTGTAGGCCATTGAAGTTGCGCAAATCATGGACCAATCCCTTGACGAAGGCAACTCTAAATTGGTGCTACAATGTATAGAGATAGCCGAATCGCAATTGTCAAACTATATTAGAATGAAAGATCAATCATTGCCTTTGGAATCAGAGGCTCCATTTCTTCAGTGCTTTTCTGCAGCTTGGGTCAATTCTAAAATAGTTTTGCTTGGTGTTTCCTTCCATGAACAAGAACGTAGGTATGTGTGATTCAATTTTCAATTGTTTTTTATGATTTGTGTGTGGTTGAACATAATGTTAAATAGAAGGCAGTGCACAACTGCACACATCGTAGTTTGTTTCGATGTGTAGGGAATATTTATTTAAATTGTTGAAGGGTGAAGAAGAGTGCCATTCATGAACTTAAGATTCAGATTTTTTTTTTTCATTTAATTTACTCATTCAGTTATATGCAAGTCATTGGGATTTTTTCTGCATGTTTGTACTTTCTTAACAATTAGGCGAGTAGAAAGTAAGTGGTGCAATCAGCTCTTCTATGATATATATGTATACTGTATGTCATATTGTCCAATGTAGACTAGGGTACAGTTGTATGCCAGTGGTGATGTTCTGTGGTGCTTTTAGAAGGTGATATAGCTGAAGTGAACTTTATTTATAGGTACCAAGATGCCATCAAATTATTGAAGTTGTTGCTCAACAGTTACGCTTATGATGGAAGAAGGGGATACTGGACGTTAAGATTGTCAGTCAATTTAGAGCACATGGGCTGTATTGAAGAGAGTCTGTGTGTTGCAGAAGACGGGGTACTAGACCCTTGGGTTCGTGCTGGCTCAAGAATGGCATTGCAGCGGCGGGTCATACGCTTGGGTAAGCCACCAAGGCGGTGGAAAGTTCCCAGCTATGCTGCTTCTGTCAAAAGAAAGATCACAGAGGTAGTTGTATAGAGATTTTAATAATTGTTATCATAAGAGCTTAAAATTAGAAGAATTTGAACTTGAAGCATCATCTATTTACATAGGTCCATATCCAAGGGAGACCATTGAATGGAAAAGTAGGAATGAAGAGCAGATTTTATGGCGAAGATGGTGAGCAATGTGGAGTCGAAGAGCTTGCTTTACAGTTCTATGCTGGAGAGGGTGGCTGGCAGGGTGTTCATACAGAGAGTGGCATTTGGCTGACTATTTATGGTCTTCTTATGTGGGATGTAATTTTTTCAGATGTACCAAATACATTCCGCACTAAATTTCAGGTATAACAAATATTCACGCTTGATTTTACACTTTTTAGTTGTAATTGAAAGCAGGAGTAGAGCCATGTTGCGAGTTATGGGGCATAAATTTGATTTTTGGAATGACATCTTATGAAATCTGGAAATTTTAATTTTTTGTTATAACCACTTTACAACAGATTTTTTTTTTTTTGGGTGTTTTTTGTTACCCCAACCTTTTCTCTCCTAGATCTGCTATGTTTCGAAATTATTAAGGTGCTTGATTCGATAAGTTTTATTTGTTTGCAGAATGCACCTTTAGACATGGACAGTGATAATTTCTATGTTGCCAGAAAGCTTATTATTGAACTTCACTTGCAAAAGATTCATGAGGGTATGGCTGAGGCTATCCTCATAATGTCATGGGAGTTGCATTTTGGAACTCTTTGCAGGGGTGTTAATTGGGAAAGGAACTCCCTTTCCGAGCTTCGTGCAGCTGTTACATGCATTGGTGGGCCTTGCCTGGCAAATCTTTGCCGGCTTTTGGCTCAGGATTATCGTAGTTGGACTAGTGGAATGCCTGATCTACTGTTATGGCGCTTTCATGGAGAGTACAAGGGTGAAGCGAAACTTGTTGAAGTCAAAGGCCCTAGAGATCGACTCTCTGAACAACAGCGAGCATGGTTGCTTACGTTGATGGATTGTGGTTTCACTGCAGAAGTCTGCAAAATAACCCCTCCTGCAGTGACATGAAGTTGCTAACACAGGGACTTGAAATTCAATGAGTGGTGCCTCTATCTCAGAGGTTAATCTGTTGCATTTCTGGTTCTGCTGAGGCTAAGCAAATATTTGAAGATTTACAGAAGTTGGCCTTCACAAGTTCACAGAGAAGATCAAAGTGATGATTGTTGTGAACATCATTTCTGCACCAGCTTGAAGCAGGGGAAGGAAATGGAGCATACATCTTCCGTTACTTAAAACTGTAATTTAGACCAGTTTGGAGGGTTCACCTTTCACTTATCTTTGAACGTTGGTATAGTTACACAATGGGTAGTTCATTCATTTTAGATTGAGTATAAATAGCAAACTAGTTTTGTGCCCAGGCGATTTCCAAATAAAGTTTTAGGATATATTTTTTGGCTTGAATGTTAAATACGGTCATATCGTTTATTTAATAGTCTACTTTTGGTAGCTTTGGTTGTAAAGATATATATGTTATTATTAACTTGAAATTATTTTTATTGAACTTAAATTATTTTTTAGTGAACAGATTATTTTTTTTACCAAACTAAAATTATTTTTACCGATCGATTCTCTATTTTTTTAAAAATATATTATAAGTGGATTTTATTTTAAAGAACTTTTTAAAGCGAATTTTACGATGGAAATAGAATCGAGTTGATATTATTTAAAAGTTATGATTAATTTTGTATAAATGAAATATTAGAAGTATATCGATAATAAAACTCTATACAATATTTTTATCTTACAAAATCTATTCAATCTAATCTAACGTGGTATATAATCTAATCACAATAATATCTATTTGTAGCTTACGTGGCGTGACACTTAACGAAAAACTGGAATGCCAAGTGTCGATGTCTCGTGGCCTAGCTGCGAGACCGACTTTATATATTAGTGATAGTGATATGATATGATATAGCTGACTTTGTTTGTAATCTGCACTAAAGTCTTTTTATTCGAAGTTCACTGTTTATCATTTTTCGGCAATTGTAATCGATAGTTAGGCCTCTCCTATAAGCCAAATCATAAGACTTATAATTGATTGTAATTTTCTATTAGTCTAAAGTTAAAGCTTATTGTAAATAACAACTAATCTCTCCATCTCTTTTTAATCTTTGCATTTGGTTTTTTTTATTTTTTTAGAGAGAAAAATACTTAAAGTGTAAAGATTGAGAAGAGACGGATAGAGTAGTTTAGTTGGTTAAAGTCATACACAAAATTGGGATTATATCTCGTTTATATCATCACCCTTCAGATTAACGAGATATAATAAGTTTAGGTTGGGTTGATAATTACTCAAGGAAAACGAGTTTGGTAATTACATGGTCTAGTGAAATCGGATATTTTTAAGGCAAAATGATTTCTGGCATGATTTGGGTTAATTGCAAAATAGGTTTTTAATGTAAAAATATCGTGTAAGAGTAGTTTTGGCTAGATTATGAGTCAATTTTAAGTTATTTATACTTTCTAACCGATTTTGGCTAAACTCTGAGTCGGTTATGTAGGATAGGTTTGGATCTAAGATTTTTTGGGTCAAACCGATCAAAATCTGGTTCATTATTGCGTAAATTTTTCGGATCGGGTCAATTTTTGATAGTTTAAGGAGCCCAAGTTAATCTTTCTGCATTTGTTTCTGTGCCATTTACTATATCACTTTTATTATTTAAAAAATAAAAGTAAAACAATATTTTATGAGAGGAGATATACTTTCATGTTTATGTTTATCTCAGAGATAAACTTGAATTTTCCCTGGTATTTTGGCCGTGTCATTAATGTTTCTCCTAGATCTTTATTTTCTTTTTTTTTCCCCGTTTAGATGTATTTCGCTTTGCGCTGCCCGCTGCACTCTTCCCCCTCTCTCTCTCCTCCATTGAAGCGTACTCTGAATTCTCCATTCAAGCGGCTTTTGAGCTTTCTCTCCTCCATTAAACCAGCTTCTCTTCTGAGGTAAGATGTTTTTTTAATTATCGAATATTAATTTCACAATCTTGTGTTAATCTTTAATTTAATTGACAGTATAGTCAATTTAGGGTTCTACTAATGTGGATTATTGAACTATTGATTATAAATACTTCAAGAATTAAACCTAATTATTGGAGCCTAGTTTGATAATCGAGTGAACTTTGCTTGCTAATGTGTTGCAGGCTTTGGTTTATACGGTATAACTCTTTAATGTCAAGACGAAACCATGAAAATGGACCTTTTTCTTGATTAGGGATGGGCCTGAACAATTAGGGTTTATGTTTTCGTTGTATTCATAGTTTAGTGTGATTGGGTGTAATGATGTATGAAGCAAGGGAAGAGAAATGGAGTTATGGTTTACTTTTTCTCTGGTGATTTTGGGGCGGGGCAGGGCAGGGCAAGTGACGAGTTAAAATCTTTCGGGTTGTCGGTTTTTGTGAGGACATTTCTTCATTTGGTGATTGATGACTTGCTGCAATTTTATTTTCTTGTGAGGACTTCCCTTAATTTTTTTTCTTGATTCTATGTATTTTCTTATACATTGATAGGAGCAAAGAAAGACACCGAGTCAAAGATCATTGTTAAAATTCAGTTAGTAATTGGTGATGGATTCACCTGAGAGGAGTCGAAATTATGCTAAAAGGGAAACGGAGGATAGTGTGGATGGAAAGAGGGAGATAGGTGGTGATGAAGAGGAATGGGAGGGGAATGGAAAAAGGAGGCATAGGTTAAGCAGCAAATCCAGAAGAGCTAGTAATGGAGAAGATGCTGATGGTTGGGATAGTAGTGGGAGGAAGAGCTCTGGAGATAGAAATGAGAGTAGGAGGATGTCAGGCGGATCCACCAGAGGGGATGTTGATGAAGGTGATTATGATGCGAAGAAGGATTCAGGCTCCAAGCTGGTAAGGAAGAAGCAGGAGGTTAGTGCTTTGGAAAAATTGAGCAACTGGTATCAGGATGGGGATTTAGAAAACAGGCATGATGCGGGAGATAAGTCCGGAACTAGAAGCCATGCTAGAAGTGATGATAATGAACGCGTGTTAAGGAAAACAACTTCAAAATTCTCTGATCATGAAGGCTCGCATAGGAGTAGTAGAAGCAGGGACGAAAGAGCTCGTGACGGGGAGGACGAAAAGGCACTGGAAAAAGATTCATATCATTCAGAAAGGAAGGAAAACAGTCGAGAGAAGGGGCATGGTTTTACTGAAGAGGTAAAGAACAGGAGAAGATGGGATGACTCTGATGCATCCATGAAAGCTGAGGACAGTAGTTTCTTGGGTAAATCTGAGCTAAAAGGTGGGACAGTGTCTGAATCCAAGCATGAGTCCTCTCGTGAAAGGAGCGCGTCCACTAGACTTGATACAGGCGAAGGAAAAGAGAGAGTGTTGGAGTCAACCAGTGACAAGAGTAAATCCTACAGCAAGGAGGAAAGGAGGATTGATTCGGATAGGTCCAAGAGCAGACGATCAGATGTTGTAGAAGACGATAGCAAAGCTAGTTCTTTAAGTCGTGAAGATAAAATTGGTAAGGAGAAAAATGATAGACATAAGGAGCTAAAAACTTCTGGTCGTGAAGCTGTAGATAGCCGAGATAGGTCATCTAATCTGGAAGAGGATGTCAATCCCTGGATGAGGGACAAAATTGCAAGAGAGGTTGGGCATTCTCGGCGGTCAGGAAGCCCTGAGAGAAGTGGTCGACATCGCCATGAGTTGGAGAACTCTGAAATGGAATATGAAAGAGGCAGCAGTTTAAAGCGCAAAGATTCAGAGAAGGATAATTTTAGAGGGGATGATAGAGCAAAAGCAAGAGATAATAGCTGGAGCGACAGGAATAGGGAAAGGGAAGGCTCCAGAGAAGGTTGGAAAAGAAGGCAGCCTGGTAATGACAGGGATATGGATTTAGTTCATGATCGTGACAGGGATCGCGACTTGCCCAGACGTGGTCGTGATAGGATGGATAACGATAGGGGTTTAGGTAGAGCTGGGAATAGAAAAGATGGGAGGAGCGAAGCTGTCAAGGCTTCTTCGAATTTTGGAATTTCAACTGAGAACTATGACGTTATAGAGATACAACCTAAGCCTCTTGACTATGGAAGAGACGATCCTGGATCTGGTTTTTCTAGGAGAACAGAAGCTGTTCCACTGCATGATCCAAAATCAAATATGCCTGATGAATGGGGACGTTCACAAGATGATCTACGTAGGGCTGATGCAGATGGGGCAACTGCTGATGATTCAAGTGTAAAGTATGTGGATGAAGCTACATCTTCACAAGATCAAAATGCATGGAGGGATGATGCTGATGGTAGGCAAGGGAGACCAAGGGGCTTACAAGGTTTATCTGCCCGACCTTCTGCTAGCCAAAGTTCTGGTGGTGGTTCTCAGCCTCCTAATAGCAATCAAGAGCCGAGTAGCTTTGGCAGGATGATGCAGCAGGGTCCTAAAGGCAATAGGCCGGGTAGAGGAGGTAGAGTCAGGCCTCCTGGAAGGGACAACCAGCAGGTCAACATTCCAGTGCCCTTGATGGGGTCTCCCTTTGGACATCTTGGTATGCCACCACCTGGTCCAATGCAGCCCATGAACCCTGGTTTATCCCCTGGTCCAGGTCCTCCAGTTCCCCCTGGCATGTTTGTTTCACCATTTTCTCCACCAGTTGTTTGGTCTGGTGGTCGGGGTGTTGATATGAGCATGTTACCTGTGTCCCCTGGTGTTTCCTCACTTCCTCCTGGGCCACCTGGACAGCGATATCCACCAAATATGGGAGCTCCTCCAAATCCTGGCACGTTTTTCAATCAACCAGGCCAAGGAAGAGGAGTGCCTCCTGGTGCATCTGGCCCAGGGTTTAATGCCATTGTGCCTGTTGGTCGTGGGAATTCAAATGATAAAAGCTCTGGTGGTTGGGTTCCCTCTAAAAGCGGTGGGCCTCCAGGTAAGGGGCCATCTAGAGGAGAGCAAAATGACTACTCGCAAAATTTTGTTGACACTGGATTGCGGCCCCAAAATTTTATTCGGGAACTGGAACTTACTAATGTTGAGGATTATCCAAAGCTTCGGGAGCTTATACAAAAGAAGGATGAAATTGTTTCAAAAGCATCTACTCCTCCCATGTATCATAAATGTGATCTTCGGGAATTTGTTCTGTCTCCAGAGTTTTTTGGGACCAAGTTTGATGTTATTCTTGTGGACCCACCTTGGGAGGAATATGTTCATCGAGCACCTGGTGTGACAGACCACATGGAGTACTGGACATTTGAAGAGATAATGAATCTGAAAATTGAGGTAATTTTCCATAGATGTTTATCTACGTATCCCCTTCGTCCAAAAATAGTTGTCACTTGTCACATTGTCTTTCCCCGTCATTAGTAATGATATATTACTTTGAAACTGTTTCCAAAGATAGTTTCGAATTCACCATTCCAAAACTCTCTCCACCATCCAATCTAAGTAGGGGCATCGTGTGAAATTTCATCATGGATCAGTCTGCCCTTTGTTGGCGCATCAGGTTATGTACACATAGTGGTTTTTTAATCTGACCAGTAATTTGTATTGATATTGTAAATTACATGAAACAAGATAAGTTAAATAAGTCGACAATAAAATGGAATTTATGAGATTCTATTTAGAAAAGGTAACTAATGTATTTAAACACCCCAAAACCGTGTTTTTGACTAAATCAGCGTTGTAGATTGACACAAAAACATTGTTGATGGCTTGTTTGTATGTTGGCCCAAATCTTTAACACTTTATTAATGTCTTGAAGGCAATAGCAGACACTCCATCTTTTATATTTCTTTGGGTGGGTGATGGTGTGGGCCTTGAGCAAGGGCGACAGTGTCTCAAGAAGGTGAGTAGAGCCATTCTTTTGGTTTTGAGGCTGTACAGACATTAATGTTTACACTTCTCATTTCTTTCTCCATTTGTATAATCAGTGGGGGTTTAGGAGGTGCGAAGACATATGTTGGGTAAAGACAAACAAAAACACAGCAACTCCAGCTTTGCGACATGATTCTCATACCTTATTCCAGCACACTAAGGTTAGTCATTATCTCGTCTTGATAAGTTGATATCATTTTAGCGGAGTTGTTTGTGCCCTTAAACTGTGCTATGAATCATGGTGAAGGAACACTGTCTAATGGGCATAAAGGGAACTGTTCGCCGCAGTACTGATGGACATATAATCCATGCCAATATAGATACTGATGTGATTATCGCGGAGGAACCTCCTTATGGTATGCTGATTTTTTTTCCCCATTCCTTATGGTATCGCCTATGACCTTATGAATTTTTTTTTTTAGTTTGCTAGACATTTGGACTCTGATTTTAAGACGTTATCTGCATCTACATTTTTAAATTTATTAATGTATTCTGTTGAAGCAGATGTGAAATAATTATAATGTTTCTTTTTCCGGATATTAATAGTTGTGAGGACTCTCTTTCTGAAAGGGTTTTGGTTATGCTTGTGTTGACAACAGGATTTTGTTCATAGTTGTTTTTACATGCACCAATGCTTGATTGAGAGTTACTTCTATATATCTTTTGATTTGGTTATTGACAAGGACTTAACAAGGGTCAAGGGTCTGATCATCAATTTTTATGTAGGTTCCACAGCTAAGCCCGATGAAATGTATCGGATTATTGAGCATTTTGCTCTTGGTCGTAGAAGGATTGAGCTCTTTGGTGAAGATCACAATATCCGATCAGGATGGCTGACAGTTGGAAAGGAACTATCTTCGTCAAACTTTAATACTGAGGTCAAGTGCTTGAACTTTAAAACTCAATTTCATTCTGAATATTTATATGCATACACACACACACACACACACGGGAAACTAGGTGTTTTCCCCATTCTGTTCCCCAGTCCAATTTAAAAGAAAAGGAGATGTGGAGCGAGGATTTCTAGGGTCATTGGTATCATCTAATTTAGCAAGGAATGAAAAGCCCTTCGATTGATGGCTTTGATGCAGTAATGATGGGAAATTATCTGCTAATGTTCTCTATTTTTTTTACCAATATAAAAAAAAACAAAAATAATAGGAAACTATTGAATTCTTATTCCCAAGCTATTGATTTCTAGGCTTTACCGTGGGTTGACATTGGTATTATGAAACATGGATGGGACTTCTAAAACTTGCACATACAGTTAATTTGTATCTAAATGTACATTAGGAAGATTAAAAGCAAACCCCCCCCCCCCCCCCTCCCCCTCTCTCCTTTACAAAAAAGATGATGGTTGGATCAGGAATTATGCAGGTTATTTCTTTTTATGTAGCTGTCATTTTCTTCTTTCCGAGTAAAATGGTTGTGACATCAATGGGTGAATTGTAGGTAAGGGCATTGGTCAATAAATTCAGATCTTTATGTGGTGATTGGTGATAAAGAATGTATCAAATGTCTGGGGTGTGGTTGCATAAGGAATTTTTTTAGTATTTTTGTGACATTTGAAGTATTAACTCTTAATTATTCTTCTGACCTGAGAGTCTAGTAAGTAGTAACATAGTTTTTACATCGTGATTAGATGTGTTTGGTTATTTATGCGGAAACAAACAGTTGAAGGCTGGTTTCTCACCTGATGAGAGGGTTGGACAAGTTATTTTTATTCTTGGGTTTATTCTCTTCAGTTCTGGCCATATAGTGGAATTTTTCTTTGGTTAAAATTTCAGTAGTATCACTAGTATTCTTGGAATTGGACTTTTTTTTTTTTTTTTTTTTTTGTGGGGGGGGGGGGGGTGGGGGATAATGGGTGGACAGGGTGGTAGTGGTGCAATTCTGGTGAGAGGGGATTTTGTTGTCTGCTAATACCTTCCTAGTGCTAGGAGGTACCAGTAGTAGGCAGCTTGTAGGTCCCAACTGAGTCACTTTGTATGAAATGCCTCTTGAATTAAGAGGTATTCTGTATTCAGTCTCAGTATACTTCTTGCCAGGTCCTAAACTTCATCCCCTTTTGCATTGCTTGTCTCTAAAAAGTAGATAAGATTTCCTTACATTTTATGTACAGAGTTTAAAAAATAGGATTTCTGTTTCCCAACCTTAGGGACTATAGGGGGAGAGTAGCCAGTCATCATATCTTGGTCTCTGATTATGGAAGTTTATCAAATTAGGTCTTTGTTCTCTGTCCATGCAAAGTTCTGAGTTAGTTCATGGGCTCTTTTGCAGGCATATACAAGGACCTTTTCGGACAAGGAAGGGAAGGTTTGGCAGGGTGGGGGAGGAAGGAATCCACCACCAGATGCACCTCATCTTGTCCAGACAACACCTGAAATAGAGGCTCTTCGACCCAAGTCACCTATGAAGAATCAGCAGCAAATGCAGCAACAGCAGTCTAACTCCATTTCTCTTACAACAGCAAATTCCAGCGGCAGAAGAGCCACAGGAAATTCTCCTCAAAATCCAGCAGCTTTTAGCCTTAATCAGGAAGCTTCTAGTTCAAACCATCCTCCACCCTGGGCTCCCCCAATGGAGGGCTTCAAAGGTCCTAACGAGAATGCTTTCGACATGTATGGTTATAACATGCATCCGATGCCGCCAAATGGGGAGTTTCTTGATTTTGAAGCTCAGAGGATGATGAATATGATGTAATGAGGTCCTTCCCAACTCATAGAGAGTATCAACAGCCACGTGCCTTTTTTTCCATATCACAATAGGCTGTGAAAACAAATGCTCTGGTTGGGGAACAAAGGTATGAAGTGGATCATGATATATGTGAGTAGACATGTCTCTCAGAGGTAATGTATCGTTAGTTTTAGCAATTGTTATTTGGTGATCTTGGAAGGAGGGGCACAATGCTGCCTTCATAATAGTAATAAGAGATTCATGCATGCTTTCATGAATAAGTCAAAGCATGGTGAAAGTGAATTGAAGAGGAATATGAAGAAGCTGCTCAAGACAGTATCTTCGAAGACATTGTAGTATGGAGCTGCACAGTTCAGTGTACACTATTCACCAGATTCTTATTGCAACTGAATGGAACAAGGTATGAAGGTGGGACAACTATGCCGGGTATCAGAACCAAGAGAGAACTGTAATCTAAAGCGCTTTTGAGTGTTTTCTCAAGTCAATTTCTATGTGAAACTCTTGGTAATTCATTTAATAGATGAGCAAATGTAAGAATATGCAATTTTGGCTCGGTTGTGTTGTAATATGCTCATACAATTTTGCCTTTAATTTCTCTCATAATTCTTCTCTCTGCCAAGATAATTGGATGGGACTCAGCTACAGGTGGTAAAGTTCTGCCATGTGTATTATTATTTCCCACTTCTGAGTTTGTTATCATCCAATTAACAAGGCTTTCGTCCCTATTGCATTGCATATTCGCTTGCTCTATAGGTTGTTAATGGTGAAATTGGTAATGAAATTGCATTACATATTCGCTTATTCTACAAGTCATGTAATCTTTTCTTTAGTTTAAAGATGAAACTTCATTCTTAATATATTAGGTGAACACATTTTTTGGTTCCGAATTGTTGAAATGTATGGCTTCACAATATTGGCAATATCATTTGCAAAAATATTGGGAATAATAAAACAATAAATCCACATATTATAATTTCGAGGAATTTAATTACTTGTAATACAAATTACTCAACATGTCTTCAATCTTCATTATAAAAATAACTAAATCACAAACAAACAATGTACCTATAAGACTAACAATTTATCAACCAAATTCGATAATTTTTATAAAATAAAAAAGGATACATTTCTGTAGAAACAAATTCCAATCATATAGAACCCTAAAACACCAATTCAAAACTAAAATCTTACAACTAATATCTTTATTACAAAGGCTCCTAAAGACAAGAATAATGGAGCTAGGCAAAAGCCATACCTATTCCCACAATCAATTGTCCATTATTTTTGCCTAACACCATTTTTGTTGTAGCCTTCTTCATCATCAAATAATACCAATACACAAACATATAATTAAACTTATATCTTAAAATAATTCATACATCAAATTACCAACATTTCTTTGATGATTAAACAATCAAATTAAACCACTTCACCATCCATCAAGAACTTCTTATCCCTTTCCAAATTATCCATTGCCTTTGTTTCCAAACTAATCTCCACATCAATCCCTTTCCCTCCATCCTTCTCCGGGTACAAATAAACCATCCCATCAAACCGGTTATTCGCCCCGCTTCTAACCCGCTCGGGTTTTCCAAACCCAAAATCGACGTCGTAAACCTTAAACCGCGGCGAGCTGCCAACTGCCACACAATTCATCCCGGCATCCTTGTATTGGAAAATAATAGGCTTATCCTCCCACTCCTTGCACCTCTTATCTATCGCCGCATTATCGTGTGCCCCAATCGCCGCCTTGACCATCCCGGCGGAGAACTCCGGCGGGTGTCCGAGCAATAATCCGGCGGCAGTTCCGGTGAAGATCGCCTGAATCAAGTTGCCGAAGTAACTTTCCGGCATGGGTGGGTCCACCCTTTTCCGGCAGTCAGCAAAGATGGTGAACACAGTAGGCTCCTCAGGTTTGAGCTCACGCGCCTTCGTGACCGCCCTCCATAGGTGGGAGGACAAAGCCTGGAAGGTGGAGAAAGGCGGTCCAGCCGGGGCAGTAGTCCCATTAGTGGGCCCAACAGCATTATGGGCTGCCTTAATTTTCTCAATCGCGGCACCAGAGAACTTAAAAAGCTTCTCGCGAAGCTTTGGCGCAGCAGCGGCAGCGGCGGTGAGATCAGGCTGCGGCGGCACGTCAGGAATTTCAAGGCTGACGCGCGTGGGGCGGACCTTGACACGGTCCAATACAGGAAGTTTAGAGATTGATTGGGCCCCATCGCAAAGTTCGGCCCATGAACTCATGAAGTGCCAAGTTGCGGACCCATCTAGTACAGCATGGTTAAATGCTAGCCCAATTGCCAGCCCATCACCAAGCTTGGTAAACTGTTACATCACAAAAGTAGGAGAGAGAAAATGAGTCCACTGGACCTTTTGATTTTTAGCTTTTCATAAATAAATATGAAAAAAGTTAAACCACAAAATTGAAAGGAGCCCATTAATAATCACTTTTTTCAGTACCATCAAGTTGCGACATTGATTTATTTTACTTTATTTTATTTTTTTATTCACAATATTTTTGGCCGAAAAATTAGATAGGAATATTAAAAATCTACATAGGACAAAGTTGAGCCGTTATTGTTGTTGTGTAGTACATCATAATCATGCAAAGGATTGCAAACTCTTCCTAGTATAAACTTGATTTTTTACCTTTTTTTAACGGGGATTTTTTACCATAAAAAATTATGTGTCATTTTATGATTGATACGGAATAAACCACACACCGTTAGAAACATAAATAATATACTTCATATATTTTTTGGATAGGACCCCAAGCTTTATCCATGTATATATGTTTGTCTATTTGGACATTCTTCACTTATATACGATTGTACAATCAACAAAATTCTGACCTAATAATTAAATGATCTAAACTAAGGAAACATTTCCTTAGTTTAAAAGTTTGGTGAAGAATATGTGGAGACAAAAAAATTGCCAAGTACGTAAAGAATTTGACAAAATTTTGACTAGCTAGAACTATCTACCAACTTATAAATAGATAAAGTCTTCTTAGTATCTATACTTTTATAGTTTTATTTTCGAGGGTTGATGAATCATTCTTCGAATAATTGATTTAATTTATCAATTCTATAAAAGTATTATTGTAAAGCAAAACTAATCAATTATTTGAGATCAATATCAACTTTAAAGTAATCAAAGTATACAACTTTACATTAAAAAAAAAAATGCTTTATGACTATGACTACGACAATGAGGACTAGTCCTCAACCAGGGCCATTACTTTCTATTTCCAAGACTAGAAAGACAGCTAAAGTTATTTATCATGCATGTGAAGTCAAGTATGATATGGCAAAATTTTTGTATACTAATATTAGTATTTTTAAGGAAAAATTGATTCTAATAATCCCATCTTTAGTCGGTTCGCTGTTAATAATCTCACGTTTAGATTATTATTTAATAATCTCACCTTTATAGGGGATTTTCATCTATTGGTCCCTTATGACCGATAACCTGTACATTAGGTAAACTTTTTTTTTTTTTAATTTTTAGTGACACGTGGCACTAAATAATTGGTCAAAAAATTAAAAGTAAAAGAAAAACTAAAAAAAAAAATTGGTAAAAAAAAAAAAACCAAAATTTTTTAATCCCCAACGGCCACCTAACCCCCCAACTTCCGGCAGCCCCTCCTTGGCTCCTCCTTATACCCACCGCTGGAACCCCCATCCCCACCGACGGAACTCCCATTTCTACCACCGGAACACCCATCTCCACCCCCTCCCAGCAAAAACCGACCCAGCTCCGCCTTAACCACCCCGATTTTCAATTAAAAAAAAAACCTTCAAAAGCGGTTAGAGGGGGTTTTTGGTGGAGTTTCGGGGGTGTATGGGGGTTTTCGGTGGAGTTTCAGGGGTTTATGGCGGTTTTCGACAGAGTTTGGGGGGTATTTGGCTGTGGTGGTTTCGAGTGTGGGTTTGGGTCAGGGGCTGATTTCGGTGGTGGATTTGATCGGTGGGGTGGTTTTTGATTCCGACCGGCCGTTTTCGGGGGTTTATGGTGGAGGCCAGCCGGTTTTCGATGGGGCTAGGGTAAGGGTTAGGGTTTCACGATGGGTGGAGGGGTGGCTGGTGGTTTGTTTTTTTTAGTAATTTTAAATTTTTTTATTTTCAACCAATTACAAAACGACATGTGGCATTTTAACCAATCAAAACCGGTTACCAACAAGTTAGGGACCAATAGAAGAAGATCCCCTATAAATGTGGGATTATTAAATAATAATCCAAAGGTGGGATTATTAACAGCGAACCGGCTAAAGATGAGATTGTTAGAATCAATTTTTCCTATTTTTAATAATAAGTAGTACTTGATGCATTTAATTAATTATATCATAAAAATCAGACATTCTTTCTAGTATTACATAGTCAAGCTAGGAACCTAGCTTGTAGTATGGGTTTAAAATTATAAAACATTAAAATTTCAAATTTTAAAATACAAATACGCTTTTTAGCTCATAATGACTCCAAGTGGCCTGAAAATAATAATATATGTGTGTGCGCGAACATGAACATGTTCACTAGAGTAAGATGCATGTAATGTAGTCAAAGAGGTGAACATTAATTTGCTTATTAGAAGATAGAAAAAAAAAAACATGAACTAAATTACTAGCACCCTATATGATCTAGGTGACAAATCTTACAATAATGAAAAAAAAAAACATGAAATCAAGAATTAAATTACTAAAATGAAGAACAAAATTGTATCCAATTGGTGAATTCGGACCCCACTGAAATCAATTGCCACATCTAAATTTTGTGGCTAACTATATGATCCAAGTAAATGCTTGGTCTGACTTTCAAACCCTTTATTTTTTTTTTTTATTTAATTTCAAAAGGTTAGACCTTGTGTTCAACCACCCATGGTAATAAGAAAATAATAATCATGCATAAAATTTACTGAAGAATTGTACAACGCGGCTTAGCTTGTGAGCTAAAAAGAAGAGCATTTATATTTGAAAGAAAGATGTACCACAACAACTATCTAGATCAAATCAAACCCTACTTCATTTTACATGTCAGTGAAATCCCCTCCCCTATCTAGAGTGTTCCCCGATAATAAAAATAACCCCGTCGATATAATTTAACGTTACTTAATATATCAGTCGTGTAACATATATGACATGCGAGTAAAAAATGTTTAAAGAATGATTCATTACCTGAATAGCCAATAGGGGACGTTGAAGACCCTCCAAATTAAGGATACCATTGTAAGGAACCAAATCTTTCATCATAGTAAACTCATCTTTTGATGATAATTCATCAACACTAACCATGACACCATCATGATTAACATCAACAATGGCATCTAAAACTTCAACACCATCCATATCATCATCATACATGACTTTAAACACACCATCATCATCTCTTCCTAATTTACCAGCTAATTGGTAAAATTCTTCCAAAACAACACTCAAACCTTCCTTCAATTTCTTCACTATTTCTTCAAAATCATCACCATTTGCTTTGTAAATCAACAACTTTTGGTTGTAGAAAAAACCCAAGTAAGGAAGATCAAATGTGATCAATTGACATTCCCTTCTTCCAATTTTCTTTCTGGGTTGAATATGAGTTGTTTGGGTGATTTTCACCTTAATTGATGAATCTAAATCTAAGTTTTTCTCCTTAATTCCATTTTCCATGGTTTAAAATTCTTGTGTTTTTTTTTTGGTGGGTTTTTTTAGTAGGAAATTAAGGAAACAAAAGGGTTGAATTTAAGCTAAGAATAAATTAGAAATTATAAGATGAATGAGAAGAATGGGTTAAGAAATAAAAAATGGAGGTGAA